AATTAGGGCTGTCTAATTACCAACTATCTAGAGATAGAGTTAGAAGGGTAATTAAACCTCCAAGCAGATTAGGGTATGTTGATTTGGTGGCTTATGCTTTACAAGTTGAAGATGATATGAGTGATGAACCCAAGTCTTTTCAAGAGGCTGTGTCAGGACCAAAAAAATTGCAATGGCTTAAAGCAATTGAAGAAGTTTTCTTCCCTAATAAAGAATGAAACCCGGATTTTAGTAGATAAGCCAAGAAATTGTAGAGTGGTCAAGTGCAAATGGATTTTTAAAAGAAAATCAGGTTTAAACCCAACTGAACCACTAAGGGATAAGGCAAGGCTAGTTGCAAAGGGGTTCACACAAGTGGAGGGCATAGATTACAATGAGATTTTTTCCCCAGTTGTCAAGCATTCCTATATCATAATTCTATTGTCACTTGTTGTTCAATTTAATCTAGAACTGGAACAATTGGACGTGAAGACAACTTTCTTACATGGAGGTTTGGAAGAAACCATTCTGATGGAGCAGCCAAAAGGACACATAAATGTTGCAGGTAAAGTTTGTCTACTTAAAAAATCCTTATATGATCTGAAACAGTCAACACGACAGTGGTATAAAAAGTTTGATTCATTCATGATTGAGATAAGTTTTAATAGATGCAATTATGATAGTTGTTTCTATTTTAAAAGATTTTCTGAACTAACTTACATTTTCCTTCTATTGTATGTGGATGATATACTTGTGGCTTGTCAGGAACCATCTGAGCTGTCTCGGTTGAAAAAGATTCTTAACACCAAATTTGAGATGAAAGAGTTGGGTCAGGCTCAAAAGATTCTTGGGATATCAATCATTAGAGACAGAGCTCATGAAAGTTTGAAGCTGGTTCAGCAAGATTATGCTGAAAAGATTCTGCAGAAGTTCAATATGAAGGATGCAAAGGCTGTCCAAACTCCTCTTGGTCAGCATTTTAAGCTGTCCCAAGATCAGAGTCCCCAAACTGAAGGGGAAAAACTTGAGATGTCATCAGTCCCTTATGCTAATGTGTTGGGTAGTCTAATGTATTTGATGATATGTTCAAGACCTGACTTAGCCTATTCAGTAAGCATTGTGAGCAGGTTCATGAGTAATCCAGGGAAGATCCATTGGTCTGCATTAAAATGGATCTTTAGGTACATAAAGGGGACCAGTTAAGTAAGTATAGTGTATAGGAGGAATCAGAAAGAAAACTATTGTGTTGAAGGATTTGTTGATGCAGACTATGTTGGTGATGTTGATAGAAGGAAATCAACTTCAGGTTTTGTCTTTACAGTATGGGGAAACATTGTTAGTTGGAAGTCTAAACTCTAACACATGGTTACATTATCTTCAACTGAATCCGAGTATGTGGCACTAACAGAGGCAGCAAAGGAAGCAAAGTGGCTGAAGGGTTTTGTGATTGAGTTAGGTTTAGAGCAAAGGGCTGTAATAGTTTACAGCGATAGTCAAAGTGCCATACATCTTTGTAAAAATCAAGTATTTCACGAACGGACTAAACACATTGATGTTCGACTCCACTTCATTAGAGAGATGATTGATAGAGGTGAATTTAAGGTTGAAAAGGTGGATGGTTCTCACAACCCAGTAGACATGCTTACAAAACCTGTCACTGGTGACAAACAAAGGCTCTGTATGAGCCTTCTTAGTGTTACATGAGCAGAAGCCTATTTTTCCAAGGCCAAATAGGGTGTCAAAACAAAAGCCAAGGTGGAAAATTGTGGTGATGTGGCTTGTGTTTGTGCCATGGTGGAGGCAATTAAAATTGGGAGAGTCAAAGGGGTCCAAGCGATGTCGTTTTATGATGAGCTAAAATGGCTTTGTCTAGCATTCGATCCAGCCCTCTTCTTTTGCACAGATTTCTCCTTTCTAACTATCTCGTTCGAGAATGTTCTAATGGGAGACGAAATCTGTTGCTCATCTACAGCTGGATCTTCTTGGGGTTCCAACTGGAGGCTGATCCTGGAAGGTGACTCATGTATAAATTGATTCCATTTGATATGGATTTGCAGCAAGGGGAAAAGGGAAGAAAGCTAGGGTTTCTTTGGGTTGTATTCTTCTTTGCTCATTTCGTTTCTTTCTTTGTTCAATACTCTGTAAATTGTTCTCTTGACTGTGATAGTAATGACATCCTATTTGCGCCTTGAAAAGTGGATGTGGGCTACCCAACCGAACCACTATAATTCCTTGTGTTGATCTTTATCTCTTTACTTGATTTGTTATTTGTTAATGCTTGATGATTCAGAGATCTTAATCTGTGATTACTTTGTTGTATGGAGATTGGTTGTTATTCAGAGATTTTAATCTGTGATTATCATCTTGTTATACAGTTGATTAGTTAGGCATAGAGCTATAATCTGTGATAACTCAGGACAAAATCTTAACAGTAACATATTGACTTATAAAATTATTGATAATTTTATTAGTTAACTATTAACACCTCTTTTGTCAAATCACAGGAAATTAATTTGCAAGAAAGAAGCAACAATAAACTTCAAAAAAATGTCTGAAAGTATCCGACCGCGTTTTCAGCAAAACTCTTTAAAAAAATGTCTGAAAGTAAAAGATATGATTTGTCGTAACTCCATATTCATTGGAGTGGGAGATGTCTGAGTTAGACAAGTAAGTTAAATATGATTTTGTCTAATTCATACACCATAATCGTTTTCCTTGACCAAATCTAACTAACTATATATGGACTGATATCCTTGTTGGCTAATCAAAAGAGTATTTGTTCTTCTCCCACAGTCAAAAAATTAATTTTTAACTGTTCTAATTTTACTTCAACTTCTTCAATCTTTAACTATTTTTGAAAGTTGTAGACGTAAAAATCTACCTGTACGGAAGGGAGGTCTGATCCCATGAGGTTGAGGCCACTAGCGATCCGCTGCACCTGTACACGTAGAGAAACAAACGCATGAAGCGAACGGGAAACATAGGGGTGATGTTTGCCATAGGCACTCCGACGCTCAAGTCAGCAAGGCTGAAAGAGGCTAGTATAGTGAAAGCTAGAGAGTAGAGAGGTTATCGGAAGTCTAGTCGGAGACTGTGACTATGGTGGTGATGTGAAGCTCTCAAGTAGGAGCTTCGGGTGTGAAGGTGTAATGTAATCTGTCCCTTATGAGAGGGTTGGCCTTTGTTTATATAGCGACTGTCTGGTCTCCCAATCCTGGTGGGAGTAGGAGTCCTAGTATAACTCTAATGCAAACCCTAGAAGAGTTAGGGCGGTGGTGAGCTGTCTTACCTACGTCCGAATAGGAAGGTGATTTGAACAAGAAAACTACTTTGAGTAGGAAAGTGATCAGGAACAGGAAAGTGACTTCGAATAGGAGATTGATCAGGAATGGGAAAGTTATTAATGGGGGCCATGGGCTCTGAACTCGCCTATGGGCCCAGGAAGTGAACTGGAACTGGGAGGCCCGTGCGCAGATGGTTTGGGCAGGCCGTATCTTGTATCAAATGGGACTAATCTGGCTTGAGCCTCTTTGGGCTTGGGCTTGACCTTTTCCTCACCGGTGGTCCTGTTTTCCTATTTGGACCAATGGCGATTTTTGGCCCTAACAAAAGTAAAAAAATTGAAAAGCAAGAATCTAAAACTGGGTTGTTTTGCAGTGAAACTCTAGAAGTAGCCGAGAGGATATTTAACACTTTAATGAGTCTAACGACAATGCTTAATCATCAAATCCTAGCTTCCCTTTAATGAAGTCATGCCGCATCATTTGGGTAGCCATTGACTTCTTTTCTTGGTAAACAGGTTTTTTGGTTTTTTCTTATTATATATAAAATTAATTTTAAAGTATTTAAAAAAACTTATTGCGTGAACCTACAAAACTACCGTTAAAAGAGAAAAATTGTCGACATTATTTTAGAAGTTTATATGTTAAAAACTTTTATGTCCATAAATGTGAAGGGAATAAGTGTATATTGTTTTCTGAATTTTGTAGATATTTTCGCTGTCAAGAATAGTTGAGTGAATTATGGGATGATTGAAAATATCAAGTTGGATTATTAATTGTGTGTTAATTACTTTACCTACTCTACAGTCTTCAGCAAGTGGACTTTTATTGTAACCCTATGCGTCACATTAATTAACTAATAATGCTATAATATGGAGCTATGGATTTGGAATTCAAAGTCTCTACACATCTATTCAAATTCAATGGTAAGTTTGGAGGAGAAAGTGAAATTTGAATTAAAATTCTGTAACTAAGCAAGGTGTCAATCACAGTCACAGTCTACGCATTACTGTCGAAATCAATTTAATTTCTAGTTATTACAATATTTCCAAGTAACTATTGGAGAATAATAGTTACAGTAACAAATTGTAGTTATAGTTAACTTAGTTTGTTTGTTTTTGTTTTAGTTTGTTACAGTAAGCTAAAGTAGTTACATTGACTATAGTTAATTAGCTGTCTTTAATCATGGTTAGGTACTGAAGTTTGTTGCATTGTTTAGTTAAAGGACTTCAATCCTTTACTTGTAAACTGTGACTGATAATGAAATAATACACTTCAAGTTTCTCTTCTTTACTCCTCCGTTCTTTGTCCTCTAACATGGTATCAGAGCAATAGCTTCCATTTTTTCTCTTTCTTGATCAATTAAAGCTTTTGAGCTTCATTATCAGTTCATATGAAATCTATCTTCAAAATTTCCTTTTTCTTTTAGCTTGAAATCGTCAATTTGTGAGCTGGTCTTTAAAAATGGGAAGTTCAAACCGTGAACCAGTAGCGAGTGCAATTGATTCCAATTCACCTCTCTATATTCATCTATCGGATAGGCCTAGTTCTGTATTAGTGATAGAACAACTAATTGGTACAGAAAATTATGGTATATGGAGCCGAGCGATGAATATTTCTTTGCGAGCGAAGAACAAGTTAAGGTTTGTTGATGGAACATGTGAAAAGCCTTTATCTGATTCTACTTTGAATGCTCAATGAGAGAGGAGTAATTCCTTGGTATTAGCTTGGATTTTCAACATGATATCAAAAGAGATTTTCAATGGAATCATCTACTCAACCAATGCTTATCAGGTATGGAAAGATTTACAAGAACAGTATCATAAGGTGAATGGAACAAGAGTCTATGGGATTCACCAGGAGATAGCTAATCTCACTCAAGGAGCATCTACAATAGCGATTTATTACAATAAACTAAAATTGCTCTGGGATGAGCTGAATTCTCTAGTTAGCTTACCACCTCCAGATAGTGCATCTGCTAGGGCTTATCTTGATCCTCTAAATCAACAAAAGTTATTGCAATTTCTAATAGGACTAAATGATTCGTACTTAATGGCATGTTGTCAAATTCTCTTGATGTCTCCATTACCTTTTGTAACACAAGCCTATTCAGTGGTGAATCAGGATGAGAGTCAGAAGGTATTATCTGGAATCAGCACCAATACAGAGGTTACTACAACCCTTTATGCACAAAATTCTCAAAGAACTCAAATCAAAGTTCCAAATATAAGGGATAAAGGCCATGTTTTGAGTGTGAACATTGTCACTTGCCTGGGCATAAAAGGGAGACTTGTTACAAATTGCATGGTTACCCTACTGATTTTAAAGGGAAGAACAATGTAAAGAATAAAGCTCAGGCAATCAAGCACAGTCTTAGCTCACCAATTTGTCCTCATAAACTTCAACTCCGAATGCATCTCTTGGAACAGTCTTATCAGCAGAACAAATGCTTAGCTTCTGCAATTATTGGGGAAGGAGAATGTAACACTAGTAGCTAATCTTTTAGGTAACATCATTCCTTATTCTCATGCCATGATGAAATTGATGACTAGATCATAGATTCAGGTGCTAATATGACCAGTAAATTTTCTAGTTTAGAATCTCCTATTATTATGAATTCATCCATTAATTCATCTGCAAGACTTCCTAATGGCTCCAGAACCTCCATTAAGCATACTGGTTCTGTCAAATTGGATAAAGTATTCATCTACAAAATGTTTTACATTTGCCAGATTTTAAATATAATCTACTTTCAGTGTCAAAATTTACTACTTCCAACAATTGCTCCATCAATTTATATCCTGATTTTTGCTTAATCCAGGATCTCTAAAGCGGCAAGTTGAAGGGGATTGGTAGAAAAAGCCAGGGCCCTTATTACTTTGTACCTTTTTCGAAAATGAATTCCAATGTATCATATCTTGATATGATAACTAGTACAATTTGTAATAAAGATTGTTTCAATCCAGTTGTAAACTCTGTTTCAAAGTTGAATAAAAAGTCTAGTTTTCTTTCTGCATCTTGTTCATCATCTAGTAATCTTGAAATTTGGCATCAAAGGTTGGGACATGTACCTAATTTAGTGTTGAAACTCATGGTAAAAAACCTACCTATTTTAAATCCACCTCATTGTAAAGTTTGTCCATTAGCCAAACAAACTAGAGTTCCATTTCCCTTGAGTAATTCTACCACTAATCACATTTTTGACATTTTGCATATTGATCTTTGGGGCCCATAGAAGATAACAACTCATGGCAATGCTAGATTTTTTTCTTACCATTGTAGATGACTTTTCTAAGATTACTTGGTTATTTCTCATGCAATTCAAATTGGATGCATTTCAAACCATTAAACAATTCTTGTTAATGGCTCATAATCAGTTTCATATCACTCCCAAATGCATTAGAACAAACAATGGTTTAGTGTTTTTTAATAAAAACTGTCATGATTTACTAACTAGTTAGGGCATTATTCATCAAAGCTCTTGTGCCTATTCTCATCAACAGAATGGTATTATTGAGAGAAAGCATAGGCATATCTTATAAGTAGCAAGAGCCCTAAAGTTTCAATCTGATATCCCACATAATTTCTGGGGATATTATGTACATGCTGCAGTTTACCTAATCAATAGGTTGCCAACTGCAGTCCTTCAAGGTATTTCTCCCTATGAAAAATTCTTTGGCAAAGCACCTACATTAGGCCCTTTTAGAGTTTGTGGCTCTTTGGCTTATTCTACTATTCTCTCTTCAAACTAGTTTTCTCCTAGATCTACACCTTGTGTTTTTATAGGTTCTTCTCTAACAAAAAAAAGGGTATTTGCTGTATGATTTATAATCACATACTATTCAGGATACAAGGGATGTTATCGTTTATGAACATATATTTCCATTTACCTGGCCTAAATCCTCTAAAAGCATGTTTTCATCTGAATCCTTTATGGATTTAGAACCATTTTTTGATCTTACATTCTCTGCATCTCTTACACTCAAGATAGGGAAATACAAACTATTCAAATTGAAAAACCAAGTATTGCTTCACCATCACTTGAATAGACTATTACTACATCATCATTACCTTCTAACCTACCTTTTGAACCCCTAAAAAAAATCTACTAGAGCCTCTAAGCCTCCAATCTGGACAACTGATTTCATGTGTCCTATCATTTCACAAAAACCAATAGCCACTGTTGTTAAATATCCTATCTCTAATTTTTTTATCCTATAATCATCTCCCACCTAAATATCAAGCTTGCCTCTCCAAAATTTCTTCTCATACTGAACCTGTTAACTTTCACCAAGCCTCTAAAGATCCATATTGGGTTGAAGCCATGAAAAAGGAAATTCAAGCCTTAGAAAATAATGCTACATGGTCCTTGGTTACTTTACCTCCTGGTAAGATTCCTATAGGTTGTAAATGGGTGTATAAATTGAAGTATAGAGTTTATGGTTCCTTAGAAAGATACAAGGCACATTTAGTTGCTAAAGGGCAACAGGTTGGGATAGACTATGCGTTCTCACCAGTTGTCAAAATGGTTATTGTTAGGAATTTAACTCTAGCTTCCATGAATAATTGGCCTCTCTACCTTATGGATGTAGACAAAGCATTTTTACAAGGAGATTTGCATAAAGAGATTTATATGAATCTGCCACAAAGGGTTGTCAGACAACCTAGACAAAATTTGGTATGTAAACTCCATACATCTCTATATGGGTTAAAATAGGCTTCTAGAGCCTGGAATTCTGAACTCACGTTGGCACTTCTCCCTAGAAGTTTTCATCAGTCCAAGTCAAATTACTCTCTTTTCATTAAGAGAAATGACTCTCAAGTGATGCTGTTACTTGTATATGGGGATGATATAGTCTTAACAGGCAATCATCTGGATTTAATTAATCACACCAGGCAATTGCTTCACTCACATTTTAAGATTAAGGACTTGGGATTATTGAGGTATTTTTTGGGCATTGAAGTGGCCAGGTCTGATAAAGGTATTAATATCTCTCAAAGGAAATATGCTCTTGAATTGATCTCTGAAACAGGTTTATTTGCTTCGAAACCTGTTGTAATTCCTTTGGATCAACATCTCAAGCTTACTTCTCAGACTTATGATCAATTATTTCACATTGCTGATGATCCTTCCTTGCTTGACCTAGCTGTTTTCCAAAAACTTATAGGAAAGCTTTTATATCTTTGCATGACTAGGCCAGATTTGAGTTATTTTGTGAATTTTCTTAGTCAATTCATGCATAATCCCGAACAATCACACATAAATGTTGCATTGAAAATTGTCAAATATGTGAAATCTGCTCCAGGGTTGGGATTATTTTTTCCATCTACTAACTCTATGCAATTACGAGCATATAGTGATTTAGATTAGGCTTCCTATCTCATGACCAGAAAATATGTTACTGTTACTATGTTTTTCTGGGAAATTTTCTTCTATCCTGGAAATCAAAACGGCAAGTTACAATCTCTAAGTCATCTTCTAAGGTAGAATATAGAGCTATGGCCTCAACTATTTGTGAAATAATTTGGCTTGTTCAACTGCTTTCTAATCTTGGTTTTCATAATTTGGCTCCTGTTACTTTATATTGTGACAATCAATCAGCTAACCATATGCTTCCAATCAAATGTTCCATAAGCGCACTAAACATATTGACATTGATTGTCATTTGGTTCGAGAGAAACTCAAGGATGGTTTAGTCAAAACTACATATGTTTATACAAGTGAACAACCAGTTGCTTTATTGACGAAAGCACTTAGCAATAGAACTCATCATCATCTGTTGTGCAAGTTAGGAGTTCTAGATCTCTATCATTGACCAACTTGAAGGGGGAGGGGGGTATTGGAGAATAATAGTTTCAGTAACAAATTGTAGTTATAGTTAACTTAGTTTAGTTTGTTACAGTAAGCTAAAGTAGTTACATTGACTATAGTTAATTAGCTATCTTTAATCATGGTTAGTTATTAAAGTTTATTGTATTGTTTAGTTAAAAGGACTTCGATCCTTTACTTGTAAACTTTGACTAATAATGAAATAATACAGCTTCAAGTTTCTCTTCTTTACTCCTCTGCTCTTTGTCCTCTGACAATAATGATACTGAAAAACACCATATATTAATTTTGTAACTTATAAAAAAATTATCAAAAGATGTATGTGCTCAAAGAATCTAAGATAGCTCCCTAGATGATGATTTCATTTTATTCGTAATCTTTTTAATTTGTCCTAATTTTTTTATTAATATATAAATGTTTATTGAGTACCTCACTTTCAAACGTGTTTGATACGTCATACTTTTTTTTTTTTTTTTTTTTTAATAAACTCAATCAAATAGATTTTCTGAATAAGTGAAATTTACTTTATTTAACAGATCACCTTGATTGTAAGTCCATAGGATTTGTGAAAAATTGGATATTTCAATTCATTGATATTTACACTGATAGTTACAAGCTTTATATAGGGGAGATACAATCTACAAAATCTCATAATTATATCGACATAATTAGGAGATTACAGGATATCAAAAATATTATGAGTATCCTAAAACTGACAAAATTAAGAGATTACATAATATTTTGGAAATATTCAAGAAATCTCAACACTCCCCCTCAAGTTGGTGCGTAGATGTCACATATGCCCAACTTATCTAAAACTTATAAGAAAATACGTTTGGAGATAGCCTTGGTAAGAATATCGGCAAATTGATCCTATGATCGAATCTTGGGTAATTCAATAATCTTTTCATCCAGTTTTTCTTTGATGAAAAATCTATCTAATTCAATATGCTTCATACAATCATGTTAAACTGGATTGTGAGTAATATTACATGCTACTTTATTGTCACAATATAACTTGATTATTTGATTAGATTGATAGCCCAAATCTTGCAGTAGAAATCTTAGCCACAAAGCTTCACAAATCCCAAGTGCCATTCCTCTAAATCTGCTTTAGCGCTTGAGCGTGCCACAACATTTTGTTTCTTGCTTCTCCACATGACTAGATTACCTTTTACAAAAGTGAAATAACTAGAAGTAGATCATCTGTCATCCACTACTCTAGCCCAATCAACATCAGTATATGCATTCACATTTTGGTAGTCCTTGTTTTTACAAAATAAGATTCCCTTTCTAAGAGCATGTTTTAAATATCTCAAGATATGCATAACTGCGTTCATATGTTGCTCTCCAGGATTATGCATGAACTGACTGACTATACTCAATGCATAAGCAAGATCTGGCCTAGTGTGAGACAAGTACATCAATCTTCCCACAAGTCTCTGGTATCTCCCTTTGTCAACTGGTACTTGATCAGTCTTGACTCCTAATTTCAAACCTTCTTCGATTGGTG